ATCAAATGACACATTATTTGAAAACACGTTTTATACTCGCATTGAGATATACGAAGCAAAAAAATAAATAAATTAGTTTTTATATATGAAACTGAAAAGAAAACTCTATAGATAAAGAAACAAACATGTGCTTAATGGGTGAATAGTTGCTAATAGTTTCGTTAACCTGATGGGTGAAGATGAGTTTGGATTCATTTAACTTGAGTTAAGATCTTATATTCTCTTCAAAAGTATTTTTTTTAATAATTATATATTACTTAAAATAAAATCAGTTAATAGATAATATTTTACCAAACATGATATTGTATTTATCATGGTCCATTGTAATATTATGTGTTTTAAAATGTATTATAATGCGTTCTGCAATATATTTTATTACATATAATATTAAAATCAATATGTTTTATCAAAAACATCAAATTAACTGTCATATATTTTACAGTCAGTTTTTTTTTTTAAAAAATCCCCTTTCCTCTGTGATAGAAAATGTCTAGCATTTAAGAAACTAAGGTATTTTAATTTTAGAGAAAATTCTTCAACTTATAAAACAACAGTCGTTTTATTTTCTTATTAATAAAAAAGTTGTAAGAATAAAATTAAAAAGAAGTAAACCAATTTACCTTTTATAAACTGAATACTAAATAATTAAATGCTAAAATAATCGATAAGTACAAACTCCGATAATATAAATAGCAAGTTTGCTCTCTTAATTTTATGGCAATTACTTTCTACACCCTGTCATTTTCTTCTTATAAGCTACTTCTATTACTGGAATTTATTTTTCCGCCCCATCCTTTTAATAAAAACATTTTCCGGAAGTGGTGAGATGTGAAATTTGATAGAGTGCAGGAAGCTTTAGCCTAATTTTATTACTCATATTTACATCTTATCACTCATCATAATTGATGACTTCCCCAATATGAAGATGTCTTTTTTCTAACATAACTCTTCTAAATGGGCTTTCACTATTTTGGGCTTACAATGGATCCGATCAATCAAACTCGTCTCAAAGTATCTAGTGGTCATTGATATTATAATTATTTTTTTTATTAAAGTACACTAACCAGTACTATTAAAGCATGTTTNGCTTAGACTCTACAACTCTCTACCAAATACCCTAAATACTCGGCGAGCGAGCTCCTCCACTTTTAACCACATCCAACACAGCCAAGACATCTCAACAACACCATTCATCACATAATTGAAGTTTAACACAGGATCATTCAACATCAATAATCATCATGTGATTCAATTAACTCATTCAACAACATTTCACAATAACTAACACTTTAAGCATAACATTCATGATCTACAAACCACACACCCTAAACACTATCAATTTGTACTTTATAAATTAACAAAAATAAGAACTAGCTTCCTTTACCTCAAACAGAACTACTACAACTCTAAGAACACCCAATAGTTGCTTCAAACCTAAGGAACTCTAGAAATGCCAACAAATCATCAAATTGTGATCGGAGTGAGTCCTTAGGACCTCAAATTAACAAAGAACCAGGAATAGAATATCAATGACACATGTGAAAGGGTTCCTAAGCATGATTATGGACAAAAAACAAAAAGAAAAAAGGGATAGAAACTTTATTGCTCTAAATCAGAAATTGATCGGAAGGTTACCCAACTATAATCTCCTAGATCGTCAAGTAAAGGATTGAGGAATTAAATTTATCAGAGAGAAAGTAAAAAAAACTCAAAAAACGAGTTTTAGAGAGATAATTTGTGTTTTAAATAATGAGATGAGTTTAAAAAATTCTATTTATATTATTAAATTATTTTAAAATTAAAATACTCAATCTCATTATTTTAAAGCATATATTAACTCTAATACTCTATTTTCTAGATTCTTATATATATTTAACACATTCTTATGCTCAAGAAATTAGATTGAAATAAAATATTGAAACTATCAACAAAATTATACTTGAAGAAAAGAATAGGAAGAAGTAATATTCTTCCCAAGTGAAAGAGAAACAAAAGAATTAATTAGTAAGAAAAGTTAAGTTCACCTCGGAAAAGCAAAAAAGAAAGATGCCGAAAAAATTTAGACAATCGCTTATTGAACAGTAATCATTGTTTATGAAGAAATACTTAACATTAATTATTTCACTTGTATAGTTTATTCACTTGTTGATCTAGTTGATATTTATTTAGCCTAGTTGGCCCATTAGGTATAAGACCAAGTTCATTTAATCTAATTTATTATTTTGGAAAATGAATTGATGTGGAACACTGATGTAGCACTGATTGAAAGCTAAGTCATTCATTATTTGTTGCGTGGCTAAGAAGGGGACACTCTAAGCTTTTTTAAATAAAATACATGTTTTGTCATTTTCAGTCTTGCAATTTTATGCAAAATTCCAAATTACCCTTACCGAAATACATTATTACTCCACCAATCTTCCACTTGTATTCATCAAAGGTAATCCATTTTTGTTAATATTGAAACATTTAATATATAAAAAAATCTCATCAAATAGAACGTATTCTTAATTTATATTCAATATAAGTAAAGATGTTAAATGAGTTTAAGATCATGAAAGAATCTAATTTTTTATCGGGTTTAATTATATTAGTTTAAAAAAATTCATCTTTTAAAATGTAAGTTGTAAGTCAAGTTTAACTTGATTCATTTAATTTATTTCAATTCGAGTTAAATGTATTTGTTATCCATCAATAACGATAATTTATAATGTTTTTATTATTGTTTGTTTAATTTTTTGTTATGATTATTTATTGTAAGTTGATAATTTAATATTTTTAAATATTATTTCTTTTCGTATTATGTTTAATAGTCTCATATTGTTTAGAAGTCGAGACAAAAAATAATTTGAATATTCTTTTTATTTTTTAAATGTTTTTTAAAGATAAAACTGTGATGGAATTTTGAGTTTCAAAACGGACAATATTTTAGATGATGAAAGATGATAGACCCTATCGATATCACTCAATGAATTTGAAATAAAAAATAACTCATTTCGTACTCAATTCAAATAAATCAATGAAACATGTTAAACAGTTTTGACACTCGAATAAATTAAAAAATAATTATATAAGTTAAAGGAAAATAATATCTATTAAAATAGTTAAACCTAAATAACAAAAAATGTTTACATTAAATCAAATTTAACAATACAATTAAAGGTCTCAATTTTCTATTTTCTTTTATCAAATAATAACATTCATTATTTAAGTAAACTCTTCCACATAGCATATAATAAATATGACTTAGAATCAATCACCACTTACATAAGATATAACTTTATGAAATTAAAGACTATAAAGATAAGATGAATGCTTTACATGTCTTAATTGCATCCTTGGAAGCACCAACACATAGGCCCACAATCACCTCTATATCTTTAGCTTTGTCAAACAAGTTAATCCATCTTGCCAATAGCAAAAATTCATCAAATGACACATTATTTGAAAACACGTTTTATACTCGCATTGAGATATACGAAGCAAAAAAATAAATAAATTAGTTTTTATATATGAAACTGAAAAGAAAACTCTATAGATAAAGAAACAAACATGTGCTTAATGGGTGAATAGTTGCTAATAGTTTCGTTAACCTGATGGGTGAAGATGAGTTTGGATTCATTTAACTTGAGTTAAGATCTTATATTCTCTTCAAAAGTATTTTTTTTAATAATTATATATTACTTAAAATAAAATCAGTTAATAGATAATATTTTACCAAACATGATATTGTATTTATCATGGTCCATTGTAATATTATGTGTTTTAAAATGTATTATAATGCGTTCTGCAATATATTTTATTACATATAATATTAAAATCAATATGTTTTATCAAAAACATCAAATTAACTGTCATATATTTTACAGTCAGTTTTTTTTTTTAAAAAATCCCCTTTCCTCTGTGATAGAAAATGTCTAGCATTTAAGAAACTAAGGTATTTTAATTTTAGAGAAAATTCTTCAACTTATAAAACAACAGTCGTTTTATTTTCTTATTAATAAAAAAGTTGTAAGAATAAAATTAAAAAGAAGTAAACCAATTTACCTTTTATAAACTGAATACTAAATAATTAAATGCTAAAATAATCGATAAGTACAAACTCCGATAATATAAATAGCAAGTTTGCTCTCTTAATTTTATGGCAATTACTTTCTACACCCTGTCATTTTCTTCTTATAAGCTACTTCTATTACTGGAATTTATTTTTCCGCCCCATCCTTTTAATAAAAACATTTTCCGGAAGTGGTGAGATGTGAAATTTGATAGAGTGCAGGAAGCTTTAGCCTAATTTTATTACTCATATTTACATCTTATCACTCATCATAATTGATGACTTCCCCAATATGAAGATGTCTTTTTTCTAACATAACTCTTCTAAATGGGCTTTCACTATTTTGGGCTTACAATGGATCCGATCAATCAAACTCGTCTCAAAGTATCTAGTGGTCATTGATATTATAATTATTATTTTTTATTAAAGTACACTAACCAGTACTATTAAAGCATGTTTGATGTTAAATTAAAATATATATTATTATTATTATCATTAACCATTTTCTAAAATATGTTTAACTATATTTCAACTTCACTTTAACGAAGTTGAAAAGGTAATGAATTCGCACAATAGCCTACTTTTTGCAGTGCAAGGTTTCATGGCATGCAGGAATGAGGAGTTTAAGGTTGGAGACGTTGAAAGGAGAGAATGCAGACTCATTGGTGACGAAACTTGCACCGAAGAATGTTTTTGTATTATAAATATTGAATTTATTATTATTATTATTACTTTATTTATTCTAGCCATGATAATTTCATTAGATTACTAGCTTATTTAATTTAAATACAAGAAACTGTGAATTATGTGACCATTTTATGTTTTGGATGTGTTCTTAATTTTTCTATCAATAAATAAGAAACCTGAAACTAATCGAGTTTTGAAAGCGATTGAAAAGATAATAACTGTCAAATTAAGGCCAACTAAATGGACAAGAAAATGAGGATGACAACAATTAATAAAGAAAATGTTTCATAATCAGCTGTGTATCTGGGCAGCATCTATTGTTAGCACAATTTTTGGGTTTAAATTAAATGCCTCATCTACGCTCTCTTATTAAAAAATTACATTCCTCAAAAGTTATTTGCAGTGACTGAACACTTCAATAAAAAATTGATCAGGGACACAATCAACCAAACCCAAATGGGAATATAGAAATACCAGGGTGAACAGAACCTCATCCTCCCGTCTGAAATATGATTTATGACTTGAAACAGATTTAGTTCATTATGTCAGCCTTCTACTTGTTCTTACAACAACATGGATTCTGGATTTTCAATATAGCCTTTGAATGCTTTTAACCATTCGGCACCAATTGCACCTGAACAGAACAAGTGTATTGTTGGCATGCTTTACCACAAAATTATCTTAATTTTTAGTAAAAAAAACATTGAAGATTAAGAATAATTACCATCTATAACACGATGATCACAGCTGAGGGTCACAGACATGAAAGAACCAAATTTGAAGTCTTCGGCACCTGATCCCGGAATGACTCTCCTCTCAGCTGCTCGTGTAGTCAGCAAGCAACACACGAAGATAATCATTAAGAGAGAAGTGATTGCAGTTGATATAAGAAATAAAAGGGGGAAATGACAAAACTGTTCTTACCAGATCCAACTGCAAGAATGCCCGACTGAGGAGGATTGATGATTGCGCAGAATTGTTTGACACCAAATGGCCCTCCCAGGTTAGACACTGTAAATGTACCTCCCTGTAATGCAATTCAACCCAAGAATTTATAAACCAGCCCAAGAAGTCTTTATTCACAGTTGAATTAATATAGACGTCAAACTCCAATAACCTCATAATCTTGGGGTTTCAAGCTGTTTTCTTTGGCTTTCTTTGCCAATTGTTTGACCTCCTCCCCTATTGTAGAGAGGCCTTTCTTGTCTGCATCCTGCATATATTATGAATAGGTCAAAATGACGACCCGTGATTGGAATATAGGCTATAATTGTATTTCAAATACTAGAAAAAGGCCCTTGCTCACCCTGATAACTGGAACAAAGAGCCCATTATCAGTCTGCACTGCTACATTAATATTCACATTATTATACCTGCACAAAAACAAAATAAGAAACGTAACAATTAAAGTAATTCACAAATTTGAAGGCAGTGTTACATAAAAAACTAAAGACTTACTGGCGAATATAATCATTTGTCCATGAACTGTTACATTGAGGAACTTTGCGGAGAGCCAATGCAGAAGCCTAAAATAAAAAGCACAGGTATAAAACTTAGTTTCCTGTACTATTTTTACAGTGCTGGCAATGAGGTTGAACTTGAGTGATAAAATTTATTCTTGAATGAAGTGCAAATCTATCTCAATATGTTTGATTCTTCCGTGAAATATTAGATTTAAGGCCATATGAAGAGCAACTTTGTTATCACAAATGAGAGACACTTGTGTAACTTTCCCAAACCTTAGTTCTTTAAACAACTGATTGAATCGAATAACCTCACAAGATGGAGTAGCTGTTTACCCATTTTTGGGGACTTGGTAAACAGAAAATTCGGGGATGTTATTATTCTCACTATTTGGTGTTATTTCAGTGTTATCCCATTTACATGATTTTGTACAGTGAGTATTATTGGCAAATACTTTTACATTATGAGCTGAAAGAAGTTGATTCTTCTAGTGATAGAATGACGTTGATTAGCCTTGCATTTGACCTTTGTTTTACTAAAATCTTTATCATTTTAAGGGATTGATAGAAAAATCACAGGATTTAGGATTTTTTTCACATGAGGGATCATGGCTACAGTACTTTAGCAGGTAAAGGTGATACATTCTATACCATGGAAGACAGAAAAATCATTTAAATTGCATTCAAGGTAAGCCAAGCACCCAACATATTTCATATTCTGCATAATAGTATTTTTCTCACAATCTGTTTAATAAAGTTAGTCTTTGAATTTGATTCTGTTTTACTTTGTCTTATAGCTTGAATTTATATTGATTGAGTATTTCTCTCAAGAATATAAATTTTATTTTATTTTGACTGTTGAATTTACACAACAGTAGGCAAGTCCTTGAAGTAACAATAATTAAATACTCATTGAAAACATTTCATCAATTGGTGTGTTACCAATTGTTTAACAACCAACAAAAAATACAATAATTGAGAATGAATTCTCCAAAAGCTAGCTCAAAGTATTAGGAGTATTTTGAACTATTAGAACAGATTGAGAATGAATTAAGTCTTTACTAGGACTATTAGACACCCGTCATGCCTAAGATCGAACATTAGACCATGACATTTGCTGGATTAGACATTTGTTGAATGCCCAAGTCATTATAAGGAATATTTTGCCCATATAACTAGTGATTCAGAAATCTCAACTATAACTACTTCACAAGCAAAGATGGAACTTTCCCATTCATTATAGGTCGTGAACGTACTAATGTAAAGCTTCTCCACCATTTTGGCATTAAATTTCATAGTTTGTTAGACAAAATGATTTAAGAGTCTATGATCTAAATGTAGCCAAAGAGAGACAACAGGGGTCCCTTGTAGGAAAATCAGTCCGTTTAAGTCAAGACTTAGACATTTATTTCTAAGCAAACATCAAACAAGAGAAAAGTCATTTAATATGATTTTAGCTGGCATAAAGCATTCCACAAGTATTATTTCTTAGATAAGATGTTGACCTTCCCTACTTATTAAGCACCAAATAAGCAACCAAGAAGACAAGAAGAGATATAATGTCAGATAAAAATCCAATACCTTGATTACAAGGTCATTAACTGATATGCGGGAGCCACCAGAGGCTTCTTGCAATGAATTGAGTTTGCTCCGCAGACTGCAGACAAAGTGTCCAATTATAAGAAATATGTATGGTAGGTAAAGCTTTCAAATATTGATTATAGAGACTTACCTCATGAGTTTATCAACACATGCATCCACTGTTAAATAGTAATGAGGAATAGTTTGCTTTGATAATAATAGCCGTGAAGCTGTGACCTGTAAAAATACATAGTTTTATTTAAAAACACCACTCATGCTTACACAACACAACATATATTAAGATCAGAACTTACATAGAAGTGAACACACAGAAGGAGAAAATAAAATATGCCAGAAGTTCTGACCAAAAGTGCCAAGAAGCCGTTTGAAACTATGTCCATAACAAAATTGGAACATCATTTGACATGGTCCAAAAACTGGTCTTTGATTTACACTTGAAACAGAAATATAATCTAATAAAAGTACAGGACTTCTTCAGCAATTTACCTTCCGTATCTGAGAGACAGGAATGTCGATATAATCTAGAGCTGCATCCGTTGTACCCTTGGCCTTTGAGGGTGCGGAAACTTGACTAGAAGCTGCATCAGAAGCTAAAGAGGGGTTATAATATAATCAATTTAANTGTTCTTACCAGATCCAACTGCAAGAATGCCCGACTGAGGAGGATTGATGATTGCGCAGAATTGTTTGACACCAAATGGCCCTCCCAGGTTAGACACTGTAAATGTACCTCCCTGTAATGCAATTCAACCCAAGAATTTATAAACCAGCCCAAGAAGTCTTTATTCACAGTTGAATTAATATAGACGTCAAACTCCAATAACCTCATAATCTTGGGGTTTCAAGCTGTTTTCTTTGGCTTTCTTTGCCAATTGTTTGACCTCCTCCCCTATTGTAGAGAGGCCTTTCTTGTCTGCATCCTGCATATATTATGAATAGGTCAAAATGACGACCCGTGATTGGAATATAGGCTATAATTGTATTTCAAATACTAGAAAAAGGCCCTTGCTCACCCTGATAACTGGAACAAAGAGCCCATTATCAGTCTGCACTGCTACATTAATATTCACATTATTATACCTGCACAAAAACAAAATAAGAAACGTAACAATTAAAGTAATTCACAAATTTGAAGGCAGTGTTACATAAAAAACTAAAGACTTACTGGCGAATATAATCATTTGTCCATGAACTGTTACATTGAGGAACTTTGCGGAGAGCCAATGCAGTAGCCTAAAATAAAAAGCACAGGTATAAAACTTAGTTTCCTGTACTATTTTTACAGTGCTGGCAATGAGGTTGAACTTGAGTGATATAATTTATTCTTGAATGAAGTGCAAATCTATCTCAATATGTTTGATTCTTCCGTGAAATATTAGATTTAAGGCCATATGAAGAGCAACTTTGTTATCACAAATGAGAGACACTTGTGTAACTTTCCCAAACCTTAGTTCTTTAAACAACTGATTGAATCGAATAACCTCACAAGATGGAGTAGCTGTTTACCCATTTTTGGGGACTTGGTAAACAGAAAATTCGGGGATGTTATTATTCTCACTATTTGGTGTTATTTCAGTGTTATCCCATTTACATGATTTTGTACAGTGAGTATTATTGGCAAATACTTTTACATTATGAGCTGAAAGAAGTTGANTAATTTGATTCAGACAAGTAGAAACCTCTGTCATTGTAGGTGAGAGAGAAGGCATTCCAATTTCCTGGTGGGGGGGTAGATCTGAAATATATATTCACCAGTGTTGGTGATTAAATCAATAAGTAAACTATTATTTATATAGTCTCAAAACATAACATTCCATCAAACAAAAACAAAGAAAAAGGGAAGCTTAAGGAGAGGTGTAAGACTGTGGAAACTGTTGGAAAGATACAATTCTTGTATCCTAAAAACAATATTTTTAAGTTTAGGGTTTAATCAATTGCATGACATCTCCTGTAAGGAAACACAAATGATAGAGAAGGATAAGCTGCGGCATATGTGAAAAGACTCATAACTGTTGACAAGTTAAAGAAACATTACATTTAATCTTGTAATGTTAGACAGATGTAAAACCATTCACGCTTGTATCTCCACCAAAAAAAGCTTAAGATTAGAACACCTATTACTACATAAAGTGGTTGAGAGTTTCAACTTTCCACTCTATTCTTAAATAAGTTGAACGTGGCACAAGGTAAATCATGTCTGTGCACAGTGCATTGTCCATGCTTCATGCTGAAAGAGTTCTTTTGTGTAGGGGAGATTAGTGATATAGATCATCCTTTTACCCCTAGCTAACTACTTCTTTTACAGGATTATTAGGCCATCTCCAACCCAATGTCCCCCTTTTTTATCATTACACATCACTTGTTTTTACATTTTATAATTTAAGAAGTTCATCTCTCCAACCTAGTCAATAATGCATCTTATTTCTATTTTTTTGTTTAAATATTACCTTATATATTGTTAAAAGCTATTTTTTCAGCGCACTTACACAATGTGCTTGATGCCTGACTAGGCCCACCGGTTGCTTTTAACAAAAGCACAGTTCTTAACTGGTAAAAATTGCACTCCGTAACCAATGGAGATGCCCTTAGCATATTATAAAAAAAACCCATTTAAAAAAGTTGCAGCTCAATCCAAGGTCAATGACACTAGTGAGTAGTTAGAAACACTGGCCAAGATTAGCAGAGGTAGTAGCTCTACATTTGCAATTCGCATCTGAGTACATTTCTCCTTCTATTTATAATTTACAAATAAATAAAAAATAACATCACAGGAGAAAAGATGTGGTGGGTTAAATGCAGCCTTAAATGTCCAACACACATCTTCCATTTCAATCAAATTTCAAAATTCAATTTAACAGCCAAAGATCCATTGGATGTACCTGAGGCTGACGCATAGCATCTCCTTGACAACACCTGTGAACTTCTTTTTGAGGACACGGTTGATTGAAAATAAAAGAGTTACTGTCAATCCCTTTTGAAAATAGCTATACTCAAGGAAAAAACTAAAATTACTATAACATAAAGTGACATACTGCGAAATCACTCCAGTGAACCCAGACCCGATAATGGAACCCCTTTTAATGCTAGCAACGGAGATGTTTCTCTTCTGCGTACCAAATGAACTTTTATATCAAAAAGAAAATACAAGTCAGGTGAAATATACATATGCGAGGAAGTGAAAAGCAATAGAGTAGGCAAAGAAAAGAAAGGGAGATATTGAAGGCAGAAACAAATAAAGCTTGTCATATATTGTTTAATTTGGATGTAAATTTGCTCTACTCACAGTAAAGCCGGCGGCCGGTTCAAAGACACTGCTTCTTGTTGAAGACTCAGGGATTCGAGTTTTCCACACATCTAAACAAATAACCAGCTACAACTATTATTATAGAAAAGAAAACTTAAGGTGCAGCATTCACCAGGCATTCAAATGGCTCCCAAACAACAGAATATGCTAATATCACTTCAAACCTCTTCAATACAAACTCTATGTTTACACTTATACTTGCTTCTCACTCACAAACACCTTAATTAAAAACACCAACAGGTTCCCAATACACCTATAGCAGATAAAGCATTCTACAGTATTCCCATTTAAAAATACGAAGTTCCACAGGAATGATTAATTAGATCAATCCAACACAAAATTCAAAATTCACAAATAAATCCGCTATGGATTCAGTTGCAATTGAGAGATAACCAAGAAACCAAGTTACCGCGGTTGCTATTGAGACAGGATTGAGCATCGCCGGAAAACCAACGCGCCAAGAGCGCGCGCTCGTTGTGCAGCAACTTCGAAGCATTTCTCACCTGAAACAAAAAAGCATTAAATAAACAGAAAACAAAANTACGGAGTGTAAAAAAAATATTTTTTTCTTGCAATTTCAAACTGGGACAATAAATAAAAAGTCCTTTTCAAAAAAGAGAGGAGGGGAGAGCTAGAAGACATCAATACCTCACCAACTTTAATTTCTTTTTCCCCATCTCCATGAACTATCTTGGCCAGATAACCTTCTTCCATACTTTCCATTTCAACAGTAGCTTTATCCTTCATATGAAATACATTTATATCAATGTTCACATAAGAACCTTAACAGAGGTATGCTATGAGCCAAGTCTCTGGTACAAGAACCATACAGTTTCAACTTCACAGAGCACTTCACCAGGAGAAACTTTATCACCTTCTTTCTTCAACCATCTTGCAATGTTACCCTGTATATAATTGGGAATTCTTTAGGAGAAACCACGACCCATGATATGACAATATAATTTGATTCAGACAAGTAGAAACCTCTGTCATTGTAGGTGAGAGAGAAGGCATTCCAATTTCCTGTTGGGGGGGTAGATCTGAAATATATATTCACCAGTGTTGGTGATTAAATCAATAAGTAAACTATTATTTATATAGTCTCAAAACATAACATTCCATCAAACAAAAACAAAGAAAAAGGGAAGCTTAAGGAGAGGTGTAAGACTGTGGAAACTGTTGGAAAGATACAATTCTTGTATCCTAAAAACAATATTTTTAAGTTTAGGGTTTAATCAATTGCATGACATCTCCTGTAAGGAAACACAAATGATAGAGAAGGATAAGCTGCGGCATATGTGAAAAGACTCATAACTGTTGACAAGTTAAAGAAACATTACATTTAATCTTGTAATGTTAGAACGATGTAAAACCATTCACGCTTGTATCTCCACCAAAAAAAGCTTAAGATTAGAACACCTATTACTACATAAAGTGGTNTTTATATTAATTTTGGAGATATTTTAATAATTTAATTTAAATGTTTTGATTTATTATTTTTGAATATATTTTTGATGTATTTTAATAATGTATATTTATATTAGTTTATATTTTTTGTATTTTGCACGTTATATATAATTAGTTTTTAATTTAATGTTTTTATAAGATATATATTTTTTATATATGATTTTTGTATTCTTTAATTGTTTAACAATTTTATAATTATATAAAAAATTACTTATTACTTTATTTATATGAAATATATTATTTAATTATATTAATATTTTTATATTTGTTTGATTAATTATTAATTATGTTAATAAGGCTCATTATAATTTTATAGGTGATTATTATTTAAAATGGATGAATATCTTTATATGAATTCTAAATTGGTTGTAGTTTGAAATGCGATTTCTCTTCATTAATTAGCGAAGTTGTAGAGGGAGATTTAACAAATAAATTTACCACAGATGAAATATTTCATTCACGGGAGCACTTAATTCAATGGGTAAGAGGAATGACTTATGATTTATGATTTGTTGTGGTAATAGTAAGATCTGACATAGCTAATGGTGTATGGGAAAGAAAAACGTTCGTCATACTTGGATGTGAAAGAGGAGGAAAATATCGGAAATACAAGGCCGATGCGATGGCTAGTGCATACGACACTCGTAAATGTGAGTGTTCGTTTAGATTAAAGGGTAAACCATGTTGAGATGAGACCGGATGGGTGTTGAAGGTGATGTGTGGAAAACACAACCATGAGTTGGCTGAAACTTTAGTTGATCACCCTTGTGCTGGCAGGTTAAATACGAGTGAGCAGTCATTATTTGTTGATATGACAAAGAGTAAAGTTACACCTGCAAATATTTTATTAACACTCAAACAAAATAATGATCGAAATGTCACAACGATTAAACAAATCTACAACGCAAGGCAAGTGTATAAACAATCATTAAGAGGGTCCAGAACTGAACTACAACAACTTATGATGTTGTTGGATTGGGATAAGTACATCCACTGGAGTAGGTGCGCTGATGATTCAGAGGTTGTTACTGACCTGTTTTGTACACATCCTGGTGCGATCAAATTGTTAAACTCATTTAATGTTGTATTTTTTTATGGATTCCACATATAAAATAAATAGATATAGACTTCCGTTGCTTGAGATTGTGGATATGACGTCTACAGGGTTAACCTTCTCAGCCGCATTTGCTTTCCTGTCTACTAAAAGGCAGAGTACTTTCATATGGACTTTGGAAAAGCGAAAAGGTTTATTTTTAACATATGATGAGATCCAATGAGATCCAATGCATATCGAGAGACACACCCAATAAGTTTTCTATATTTGTAGCCTTTAAAATGGTCACTCGTGAGCAACAGACTACTTCCAAATGACGCCTTTCAGCTTTTCCAAAGCCCATGTAAAATTACCCTGCCTTTCAGTAGACAAGAAAGCAAATGTGGCTGAGAAGGTTAACCATGTAGACATCATACCCACAATCTCAAGTCACAGAAATCTATATCTATTTGTTTTATATGTGGAATCCATCAAAAATACAACATTAAATAAGTTTAACAATTTGACCGCATCAGGATGTGTTCAAAACAGGTTAGTAACAACCTCTAAATCATCAACACACCTACTCCAATGAATGTACTTATCCCGATCCAACAACATCATAACTTGTTGTAGTTCAATTATGGACCCTCTTAATGATCATTTATACGCTTCTCTTGAGTTGTAGATTTGTTTAGTCGTTGTGACATTTCGATCATTATTTTGTTTGAATGTTAATAAAATATTTGTAGGTGTAACTTTACTCTTTGTCATATCAACTAGTAATGACTGCTCAGTCGTATTTAACCTGCCGGCACAAGAGTGATCAACTAAAGTTTCAACCAACTCATGGATGTGTTTTCCACACATCACCTTCAACACCCATTCGGCCCCATCTGAATATGGTTTACCCTTTAATCTAAACGGACACTCACATTTACGAGCTCCGTGTACACTAGCCATCGCATCGGCTTTGTATTTCCGATATTTTCTCCTTCTTTCACATCAAAGTATGACGAACGTTTTTTTTCCCGTACATCGTCAGTAGCTATGTCAAATCTTACTATTAGCACAGCAAATCCTAAATTATAAGTCATCCCTCTTACCTATTGAATTAAGTCCTCCCGTGAACGAAATATTTCATTTGTGGTAAATTTATTTCTTAAATCTCCCTCTACATTTTCGCTAATTAATGAAGAGAAATCGGATTTCAAACTACAACCAATATAAGAATCTATATGAAGATATTCATCCATTTTAAATAATAATCACCTATAAAATTATAATGAGCCTTATTAACATAATTAATAATTAATCAAACAAATATAAAAATATTAATATAATTAAATAATATATTTCATATAAATAAAGTAATAAGTTATTTTTTATATAATTATAAAATTGTTAAACAATTAAAAATACAAAAATCATATATAAAAAATATATATTTTACAAAAATATTAAATTTAAAAACTAATTATATATAACGTGCAAAATACAAAAATATAAATATAAAATAATATAAATATACATTATTAAAGTACATCAAAAATATATTCAAAAATAATAAATCAAAACATTTAAATTAAATTATTAAAATATCTCCAAAATTAATATAAAAAAATAAACTAATAAAACAAAACCTAAAATAAAAATAAAAATGTAAATTGTAAATGGTAAATGGTAAACGGTAAACGGCGGTTTAAAGTTTACATTTTTATTTTAGGGTTTATTCTAGAATTGATTACGCACCTGGAGGAAGCACCACTGTAAGTACCACCGCACCACTGAGACCGACACCGCTTGATCAATCCTTTCCACCACACAATTCTCACTAAGTATACCACCGAATGAAACTACACCGTATATTCTCACAGTAAAACATAGAGAGAAAAGTTTCTTGCTCATATATGATACTACTAATAGGTCATTAGTGAAATGGGTTGGGAGTGGATAAAAATTCAAAAATAATAATTATAAAAATAAAATTTTATTTAAGGATAAAATAGCAAAAGAGTGGTGGTAAAGGGAGAAACACCCTTATTGCTAATTGCATCTAGAAACTTCTAAGATGTTTTTATTGCTAATTGCATCTAGAAACTTCTAAGATGTTCCCCGAATGGCCTATCGTAATATTCAATATGGAAAATACTTTCCGGAACTTAAAAGTAATAGGAACTGACCTGTTAAAACAATACAGAGACGGGGAAGTGGCAATTCAGCTGTCCACGGTGGACGGCGGCGATTCGCGGTCCAGCCTCGGGCGATGGCAATCCAGCAGTGATGAACAGCAACTACCTCATACAAACCCACAAAACCACCTGTATATATATATATATAATACAATATCTTTTATGTATTCACCTTTTAAAATTAGTTTCGATTTTTATTTACTTTCTGCATTTAAACAAAAATTCTTTACAGTTACAATATTTAAATTATACGAAAAAAATTCCTTAAAATCGTCGTTATATATATA